TTGTTCACCATCTTAGCTGTAGAGGGCGCAGCATCACTGGCCCTCATGTGGGATCTGAACTGGGGCCCTGCTGCTCAGAGCTGGCGTCCCAAGCCAGCTCTTAACCAACATGCCACTTGGCCGGCCCTGTTTTATTTCTTGATGTGAGTGCTAGTTACATAAGGATTTCAGTCTGCGAAAATGCACTGAGCTGTATACACCTATGATCTGTGCACATTTCTATATACTTCAATTAAAAAATTTAAACAGATTTTGTGGGAGTAAACCTGTATGTAGGATTACTCATACCATGGTCCTGTCTTTTAAAATGGATAAAATTAAAACTTGGCAATACGTTTGCTAGCTTATCCAAAAGGGAGGTTGATTCCAATAGAACAGTTATATTTTCTAAGTATTCAAAGTAAATATTCTAATCTATACTTCAAGATTTTTAAAAGTTTACTAACTGAAATTGTAACATTAATGTAGCATTAATGAACAGCAAACAGAGCATATATCATACCCTTCTTTTCCACACAAATATTTAGTACAGCACCTACTACCTCAGTAAACCCAGAAATGCCACAGGATGGCAATAGAAAAAAGTTGCAATTGATTCTCCACTGACTGCTCTGAAGACTATACTGTATCATTTAAAGTACAGTTATATTACAAAAATAAAAAACGCTTAGAAATCTGTCATTAATAGACTCTTATGATCCCTGAGAAACAAGATAACAAGAAGATAGTGTTAGCCAAATGAAACGAGCAAAGGGCAAGAAAGGGCAATGCAAGCAAAAATATATAAAAAGTAAATAAAGTATATTACATTTACAGATAAAAATGAGAAGGAAAGTGATTTTTCAGTAAATACAAGTTTACTGACTGTCTACTTATATCAAAACTCAAAGACAGACACTGAAAGAATTTAATTAATTATTTTCACTTTACCCATTCTACAGATGAAAACAATGTCGCATACAGTTCACTAACTTGCCCAAGGTCACACCCAGTAAGCAAAGGAGTAAAGCCAAGATTCACATATTATACTATGTTGCCTCTGTGTAAAATTCCATGCCCGCCCTTTAGGAGTTTACAGCGATGAGTATTAAGACATTGAGCTGATTTTTATTACTAGTAAAAACTACTACTTAGAAGTAAATGAAATCTTAAAAAACAAAAACAAACAAAAAATACTAGTAGTAAATGAGATCTCAAGCTTCAATAATTGGTCTAACTATGAATTAAAAACTGAAGTGCCAAAAGCATTCCTAATATACAGTCCTATCCTATATTTACTTATTTTTAAAGAAAGCTACAATGAGAATCTGGTCATTTTAAGTAGTTTCCGTTATTAGCCATATGCTTATAGAATCTGTTCAGCTACTATAAGAAACCATACAAACTGATTATCATATGGAGCTTTCTCAGACAAATCTTCTAAGCATCACCAATAATACTTTAGCATATCCCAATACTGTTTTCAAAGACATATCCATCCGTATTTACATGCGAAAAGCTAAGGCTCAGGGAAGGTAAAAGAATTTACCAGTTAATAATTATGGGGCAAGTAACACCAGTTCCAGAACCCAGGTCTTTTCCAGTTCACCCAGAGAAAGCTCAGGCCTCCACTGATGCTCTGAAGATCATAATGCTACATATAGGGCGACCCTCCCTGGAAGAGCTGCCCTTTACATGAGCTCAGTAGGAAGCAGAGGCAAGCAACAGGGTTAAGCTAGGTCTTCAGTCAGGCCTGGTGAACAAACAAACACTGTTGGTACAAAGAAAGGAGCAGGCAAAGCCATATTTGATTCTGGTCCAGTAACAGCTGAAAACAATTGATGACTCCATGGAGAAAGCCAATGACCCCACTGTTCAGGCCGTGTGGCAAAAGACACTAGCGGACTTTATAACATTCTTAGCAGGGCCGTGAGAACAAAAAAAGATAGTTGTTGGTGAGGACCTTTCGTATGACCTTGACTGCAGAGGGATCGAGTGGGAGTAGGGACAGGAGCAGACTTTGGTATTTTCTCTCTGGCCACCTGTTAACGGTTTTCTGAGATGGATAGAACATACTTGAATTCACTGCCATCCAATTCTTTTTTCTCAAGACACTTGCTTAATCCTATAAAAGAAAAAAGAAATCCTTCTCTGATGGGCAACTAAAATTTCTTTCCATTATATATACAAAAAGCTAAAAAAGAAAAAGCCCCAGGAGAATACAAATAATCTTGAAGCCTAGTTGGTGGAACAGAAAAGTCTGTTTAACCAGACAACCATCTACCCCTCAGCACTCCAAAAAGTATAACCAAAGTTTAGAATCACAAAATAAGTTTATTAAAAATCCCATTTAAGGAAGCACCAGCAGAAAAATACATTTCTGTCTCTCACTATATCCCAAGGTAACAACTAAACCTCAAACTCTTATAACATGTTTATTAATACTTAATTATTGATACCATTTTCTTTCTTCACTCTCAGAGATAAATGTAAACAAAATTTGTACTCCACAGAAACAAACATCTCCATGGATCTTCTCTAGCGCAAAGGGCTTGTGGCTGGTTTTAATGACTCTAGCCACTTGACTAGTTTCTCCTTCACTTTAGAAAACTACCTAAAATATTTTTTAATAGTAGCTTTGTTTTGTAATGCTAAGAAATTTTCAAGTGCCAAATGAGGTTATGATTTATTATATTTTCCACAGAAGTATTTAATCAGCCTTAATGTCACTTTGACAGCTTCCTCCTGGACAGGCAGCCCCAGTTCTGATTATATGGATGGTCTTGGAGAGCCTCTATTTGAGGTTTTAAAAGCTCACATCCAACAATACATTACCAATCTCCAAAATTAATAAAAATAATTTGAAACTAATTCAAAATTTCAGGAATATATCCTGGAAAGGATCCTCTAAATTTTGAGACTAGGAGCAGATAATTTCCCCAGCCCTACAAGAGGCTCTGTGAAAGTGGCACACTAAAAAGAGCAAGGATAGTGATAGCCTATTTGGTGATTTTTTTTTTTCCTTCTTCCATCCCACGCCACTTCTGTGAACCATCTGAGATAGATTAGATTATTATTCAGCAAATATTCACTCCCTCCCCCAGCCTCCCTAAAGGAAGGATATACTTCCCCCCTGCAGTGATGTTGGCCTTGGCTCTGTGACTTACTCTGGCCTCAAGGTGGGTGCAGTCTACTACCCATCCCATGACTTTGGGCACATACTATGACTTGCTTTGGTCAGTGGGATCTTAGCAGATGTGGCATACACACAGACACTTGAACTGTGCTTGTGCAGTTGGCCTTGTCTTCTTGTACTTCTGCTGTTGCCTTGAGCTTACTGTGGGGGTAGCCACTGACCCTTCAGCCCAGGCCCCAGAATAAGACATGCAACACAAAACGGCCCTAGCTGATCACAGACCTACACCTTGAAGCAGTGCCTCAGTGAGAACAAATGCTGTAAGGCACTGAATTTGGGGGAAGTCTGTTATATATAGTTATTGTAGTTTTAAAATAATAATGGTTATGTGGGCTCAAACAATACAATGAAAATGAACAAATCCAGAATCCTTTATTTGAAACCCTTAGGACTAAATATGTTAAAAATTCTTTTTTATTTTATTTTATTTTATTTTATTTTATTTTATAAAGGTAATATGATGCAAATACCATACATTTTATAATGTCCCTTCAGGGCCTTAGCACCACAAAATCAAACACATTAAGAAATATTGGGCCGGCCGAGTGGCTCAGTTGGTTAAGAGCTCGCTCAAGGGTTTGAGCTCTGAGCAACAGCGGTTCGAGTCCAGCCTGAGCTGAGCAGCCGCTGAGCTGCCAACAGGTAGCAGGATGGCTCAGCTAAAAANCAGTCTATCTGAAGTGTACCTGGCGTATAAGACGACCCCCCACTTGGAGGCATATTTTTCAGGGCCAAAAAATCGTCTTATACGCCGGCAAATACGGTAGCCTTGCATTCAACATCATGCATCCTGCCAATGAACGTTGACTGAGCACAGTCAGGAACTATGTTAGATACTGAAAAAATAAAGGTACGTAAAATATACTCAGCCTATAGAAGAGTAGGGCAAGATAGGTAAAATAATAATAGATGAGTAAGTTGGAGAAGGCTTCGGGGGAGGTGACACCTGAGCCAGGTAGGAACTGAACTCATATAACACCTGTATCTCACATAGCCTTGTGTCCCCAGCACCAAAAGATACAGTGGTTTGTCCTCAGATGAAGTTCAGAAAATACATGAATTTGGTTAACGATGAGAAAGCCTGTTCAGCCCCCTAAGCCTCTCTTGGAGGTGGTGCAGGGTGATCACTGAATCCCCAGTCTGGCAAAGGCAGTTGCAGAGGCTGACACTGTACCTGGCTACGTACAGTATTGCTCAGGTGATTGTCCTCGGACATCTGTGCATTCTGGAAGTAGGACAAGGGTGCAGGTAACTCTGTCATTGGAGCAACTGTACAGAAATGCCTTTTCACAGAAAACAAAGCCCCTTGGGATTCTGAAAAGAGAAAAAGAAAAAATTTGTGCATTACGATTATACTTTTACTTATAAACACTTTCATGAGTTACATTTAGCAAAAACAAACCTTTCTTTCATGTGTTCTCCTCCAGGCCAAGCTTTCTTAAGGACCTCGCAGGCTGCTGTCACTTGTAGGCTCCCGGATTAGGTCTGAACCAGGATTTTACCAGGTCGCCCAGAGTTGGTCAAATCCTAGATAAATCCATTCACATCAATCAAACACTTGTAAGATCAATTTGTAAACCACAAATTTATTAATTTGCCATGACCTTCAATTGACAAACTTTTATCAGCTCGAGATACCTCTTTAGTAATGAGATCTACTTGACAAACCAAATATTTTCATAAAGCTACTTAATGATTTCAGATATAGAGCAAAGGGAGTTGAATCATCTTAAAGAATGTTCTCATCAATATTCCTTTTTCTATGCTGACCAAGCCAACCTAATTTTGCAAAATTCTTTCTATCATTTCATTTTATCTTTACTATAATGCCCCAAGGCAGGGTAAACAGGTAACACATGTATTTTACAAAAGCAGAAGGGGACCCAAGTTCAGTGACTTACTTAAAAATCACACAATTGGTCAGACCAGGATAAAAGACTGCAGACTCCTAACTCCTGGCCTCAGATCTCTCCTTTGCATCCTTGCATAGCCTGATTTATATACATCACTCTGTCTTCCTTCCTGGGGGCCACATTCCCATGTGCCTGTCTACCTTAATCTCTATCAGCCAATTCTTTATCACTTCAAATTTCCTTTTCATAGAAAGTCTTCAAAAATATAGAAGGAAAACATCTGTCTGCATACCTAAGCAGTATTCTAATTCATATATATGATCTAAAACATTACCATGCACATATTTACATGAAAGCATTTTGTCAATGTCCTGTTTCATTTTAACTTTCAGGATCCTCCACCCTCTAAATTCTGCACTTTTTTTATTATGATTTTTCATAAAAAAACACATTAAACTTTTCCCTCTAGTAAAGGTATTGAGTTCAAATTCACCCTTAATTACCTATATTTGGCTCATTCAAATCATGACAAATTTTTAACCCAGGTATGCTTTCCCTTCTATCCTACATGCTTTTATATACCATGCCTACCTTTCTCTCCTCCAACTTTGGCCCATAGCTAGGGGCCTGGGAGCAGGGCATTGCAAATTAATATTAACTAAACGATACAATTAATGTAAATTTCTTTTAAAAATAAAGTGAATTAAAAACAGAAATAGAGACAATACTTGTATGGGGGCTATTCACTGGGAGGGGGTACAGGACAAGCTTTTCTTTTTAAAGATTTTATTGGGGAATTGGGGGAGGGGAACAGCATTGCGGGAATTGGGGAAGGGAAACAGACAAGTTGCTGCCCTTTTGTTCTTCAGTCTAGTTGTGGAGGACGTTGCTTCACTGGCCCATGTAGGTAATGTGATCATTGCGCTCTTCCCGGGTGAGGCAAATCGGTCGCCGGCCTCTGGACAGCCACTCACGGTGGCTCACGGCAGCTCACACCAGCTGCCGGCCACACCAGTAGCTTATGGCAGCCCACTGCAGCCCCACTGCAGCCTACACCGTCGCCAGAGACTCACAGCAGCACAGCTCCAGGTCGAGCTCTTGTTCACCATCTTAGCTGTAGAGGGCGCAGCATCACTGGCCCTCATGTGGGATC